TTGAATAATACTTTATAAAGAATTGAATGAGGTTATTCAAGGCATTTTTAACCAGAAACGCCTTGAATAAACTTATTTAATTTTTTTTAAGGGATTATTCAAGACATTTTCTGACCAAAAATGCCTCCAATAATCTCTTATTATTTTTTTTGGAGATTATTTAAGGTATTTCTAACCAAAAATGTCTTGAATAATCCAAAAAAAAAATAAAAAGGGATTATTCGAGGCATTTTTGGTCAGAAAATGCCTTGAATAATCCCTTAACAAAATTGAATTGGGTTATTCAAGTCGTTTATGACCAAAAATGCCTTGAATAATCCCCTTCCATTTTTTTTTCAATTATTTAAGGCGTTTTCTATAAAAAAACGCCTTCAATAATCCCCTTTAATTTTTTTTTAGGATTAATCCCTTACAAAAAATTGGATGGGTTTATTTAAGGCGTTTCTAGACAAAAACGCCTTGAATAATCCCCTTCATTTTTTATTAGGGATTATTTAAGGTATTTTTTGCAAAAAATTCCTTGATTAATCCTTTCTAATTTTTATTAGGGATTATTCAAGGCGTGTTCAGCAAAAAACACCTTGAATAATTTCTTGCCAAAAACACTGAAATAGTTCAGTTGGTTAGAGCATACTGATATTAACTATAAAATCTTAGGTTCGATTCCTCCCTCCAATGTTTTAAGGGTTTTTTAAGGAGTGCAAAAATATTTGTTAGCGGCGTTTACATTATAAACTCCGCTATATTTATAAAAGTCAAAGTACATAGTGGTATTTAGGTTAACAAACGCCACAAAAATATATTTTAGTGACGTTTTTAAATCCAAACACCGCTATATAAGAATTTAGTAGCGTTTTATAAAAAAAACACTACTAACCTTATAAAAGCATGAAACTTTGTGGCATTTATTTTAAAATGTCGCTAAAAAACAACCACTAAATTTTTATTTTTCTGTAATGCCACCAAAGCTAATTAAACCAATTGATATTATCTAATATTTAGTTTGATATGAAAAATCATCTTTAAATATAACATAATTTAACATAATAAGAAGATGCCAACTAATACAATCGATATCGAAATGAATTTAACAATTTTGATATAGAGTATAACATGAATGAAGAGAGAAAGAACACAAGTATATTAACCAAATCAGAGAGCTCTCTCAGTACTATTAATTGCATGGAAGATGGGACTGAGAGGCGCATGCTTAAGCAATGAATGACCTACCAAGCCCACATCGCTGTGTTTTGATTCTTAGGTTATGGGGAAACACCATTAAGCCTACCAAAGATCCCTATTTATTTTTTTTTATAATTACCTCTTAATAACATACTCTAATGTTCTTAATTTCTTAATATTTGACAAGTAATCTCATTATGCCATGCCACTCTTCTGCCTTCTCCATACGTTTCATTTTCAGAGCATTAGCATTCACTACAAGAAAATGGAAGATTAATGGCAAGTTTGTAGTAGCGTTTCACTTACAAACGCCAAACAACTTTGAAGGAATTGTTTGCACTATCTCATAACAAGCGTATTGTAGTATCTATAAACTCTGATAGGCAATCGATTGGCGAAGAGGCTCAACTGTTGGCTGGATTTCTAGACATGCTTGCCTGTAATGGAATAAAATTGCCTATTCATTATGAAACATGACATAAAGTTCTAAAAGAAGTTAAGGTCGATGCTTTAAACTTTATTAAGGTATTAGTATAATTAATGACATATAAAAAATTATTATTTTACATTTTATTTACTTATTCAAACTTTTCTTATTGTATTATTACAGTCAAGATTTGTACTTGAAATACCAACTTCATTTGTACTTAAGTCATTAGGAAAGAAATGGAAAGATTATAAGCATAGTTTGTAGAATAAGTATTTTGATCGAAATACTACTGTAGAGGCGATGATGGAAAATCTACCATGTAATGTGATTAGGTGGCAATATGAATAATTAGTTAGATTTTGGTTCTCAAGAAAATGACAAGTACTAATTTATAACTTTGTATAGTAGAATGAAATAATGAAAGTGTTTTATGCTTTAAGTTGGTAATATTTGTATTTCCATCATATACATAATTATTTTTTATGATAGGAAAGAGAATAGATTTGGATTAGTAGCAGAAACAATAGAAATATAGCCACACAAGTGGATCAAAAAGTTTGGCAAGAAAGCAAAAAGAAATAGTAAGTTAATGATTTTAAACTTATTCTAATGAATGAACTTTTTGTGCCATTAAAAAGTAAATATGTAAATTAACAGTTATTGTTCTATTTTAATAGTTTTGATAGTTTCAATACATGATATTAAACTCATTGAAAGTTTTGAACTTAGTTGACATGGATGATATGTATGAAAAAGTTATAGTTTGCATATATTTAGGTAAAAATACAAATTTGTTTTTATTGTTGTATTTTAACAGTTTGGATAGCTTCAATACTTGATATTAAACTTGTCCAATTGATTGAACTTGGGTTCTATGGTTGATATGGGAGAAAAAGTTGTTGTTTATGTCTATTTGAGACTATTTTTGCATATAAAAGGCAAATATACAAATTAAACTTTTGGATGGCTTTCAACATATTGAATGGCTTCAATCCATGATATTAAACTTGTCCAAATAATTGAATTTGGTTTCCATGATCGATATGTGTGAAAGCCCAAAATGTTTTTATTGTTTGCGTATGTTTAAGACTATTGTGTTGTTATGGGGCCAAAATATAAAAACATGCTATTAAATTTATTCGAAATTTCAACACTTGATTGACAGGCTTGATATGCATGAATAAGTTACGGTTGATATGTATCCTATCAAATAACATATATTTTTGTATAGGAGAATGAGATGGACGGTAAAATTAGACGTGTGAAACTTTTTTGCATAACACACAAAAAAAAAGACGGATCATACATGAATGTCAAAACATAAGAAATTGTGGTAATTTGTAACATCTATTTTAACAAAAAGTAAATATTTACTCATTTTAACATATTATCAATTAATCATTAAATTTGATAGTTGTATATCACAAATTCACAAGAGAAGGCGAAAAAAAATGGGTGCTGAGATTGAAGTAGCATCTAATGGTTCTCTCAACATACAAGAAATGAAAAATTGAATATTCATAAAAGTTACTGGAAAAGAAAGGCATGGACGGGTCTGAGGCCTTGGATCGGGTCCAACACCATCTACCTACTATGGACATAGCTCTCAGTAATTTACATTTTCAGCAAGTCAGTGAGTTGCAAACTATACAACAACGTTTTCAGCAAATTGAAGCAAAAAGAGAACATGAGTGTGCCAAAATTGAGGAAGAACATACTAGAATGGAGCAAGAACGTGCAAAATTTCACTAGTTGCATGATCGATTCGATCATTTTATGAATTTTGTGCAACAACAATTTTTAAGAACTGATCTCAGTGCTCCACCAACTCAGGTATTATATTTAGTAAATATTTAAATTTTTAAATATAAAAAATGCTTACAATTAAGTGTTAAAAATTGTATGGTATTATTCAGTAGGTTCTTGAGCACACTAGTGATCAAGGTGAAAAAATTTCTTCATCAATTGGTAGCCAACAAAATTGATGCAGTCATCCATTTCATACATTTTAATTTTTATTTTGTTAATGTATTAAAAATATTTGAATGTTATTATACTAATTATTAAACTTTGTGTTAATTACATACATATTTCAACGTGAATTAAGTTTATATTAGTTTCAGTTTCTAAATTTAAGCTCTTTTATAAAAATAAAAATTATTAACAGAAATATTAAAAAATTACTGGTAGTACCAGCGTTGTTAGCAGCTAACGCCACCAAAGCAATAGCGTTTTTCTTATAAAAACGCCACTAACTTAGCTGTGTCTGAAAGAAAAAAAATGTTGCTAATATAGAAACATTTTCGGAAACAAACACCTCTAAAATAGTGACATTTTCAGTTACAAATGCCACTAAAGTAATAGCGTTTTTCTCATAAAAATGCAACTAAATTAGTGGTGTCTCAGATATACAAACGCCGCTAATATGGAGGCATTTTCAGTTACAAAAGCCACCACAACAATGATATTTTTCTCATAAAAATGCCACTAAATTAGTGGCGTCTCAAAGATATAAACGTCACTAATATGGAGGTGTTTTCAGTGACAAACGCTACCAAAGCAATGACGTTTTTCTCATAAAAATGTCATTAAATTAGAGACGTCTGAAAGATAAAAATGCCGCTAATATGGTGGCATTTTTTCGAAAACGCCTCTATTTTCAGCTACGCGTGTATAGCCGGCATTCTGACTGACATTTTTCGCAAACACCACAACTCTTTTATTGGTGTTTATAAATGTTGCTAAACGTTAACAAAAATACCACTAAAAACCAAAACCCCTTTAATGAATAGCATGCACGTTTTAAACTTGCCCTTTTCCCTTTAAGAATATACTATAATCAGATTGCTCCCAACAGAACTGACATCTGTTTCTTAAAATAAAAAGAATTGGGCAGGCTTTGCAGGGGAAATGTTTTTGATATATCCAAGCTAGGCTGCTGCAAATTTCTATAACTTGTTCGGGGAAAATTAAATAGCTAGAGACTTGGGCATAAATGTTTATATGAGAGTGAGACCATAAGTTTTATTTTTTTATTTGTTATTTTGAAAATATGAGACCGTTAGTATTAATTCCGAATTAATAAGATTATGATCCGGAGCATCCAAAATCTTGAGACGTGTGGGATCTTTGAAGTAAATGTGAAGCAGATGGGACCAAAGGGGCGACGTGATGGGGATTTCTGTTATCTGATTTTATACATTCCAATTGTAGTTTAATTTTTGTAGGGATGGGTAGACATTTCCCCATAACCTCCCATTAGGTCTAAAAAGGACCTTTTTGTGATATTGTAAAAAGAAAGAGCCTTTACAGTTATTTTCTTCTTGGAACCCTGAAGGTGTTTGCTGGGTTACGTTTAGAGGACTGGTGGAACATATATTTCGTCTTAGTAAAGTCAAAAATCTATTACGGTTCAACCTCCCTAAGAATATATTTACAATAATATCATTATTTAATCTAACTGACTGACTAGCCACCATCTCTCTTTCCCCCTCCCCTCCTGCAACTATTTCATTTCCACAATCTTCCAAACGAAGAGAATTAATGGAAAGTGAGATTTACAACTTTTATTATCCTTGTTGTCCTCTGATATGTTTACAATGAAACACAAGACAAAAATAATTCGTCTCTGGTTAATGGGTGTCTCTCGCTTTCTTGATTTCCCAACTCCAAAATATGCTTATGGCAATTATCATAGATTCTTCTGTCCAATTTAAGCAACAGACAGAAAAGCTCTTTTTAATCCATGGCTTATGTTGAGATCAAGACTAAGCTGAGTAATCCTTATCATCATCATCATCATCTTCTTCTTCTTCTTCTTCCTTGTTCTCGTTATAGTCCAAACTGGCTGTTCGGATTTTTGGATTGTCGGATAAGACCATGGTTCCTGCTGAAAACCTTTCTAAACAACATGATCTTTCTCACGGTGGCGGTTTTTATGGTTATTGTGGTAGCAGTTTCACAGAGAGTTTTGGTAGCCTTATGAGACGCGTTCACGGGTATGACTATCACAGTGAAGCTTTCATAAAATCTGATCTAGGTGCTAATTCCATGGATGAGGATGAATCAAGAACTAATAGTCTTAATGAGGCGGGCTCCAGCTCCAAGCATAACAATCAAGAACAAGAAGATGGAGATGAAGGTTGGCTCCAACTCAGTATAGCGGGTCAGGCAACAAGGTACAATCACAGCAAACATGACCAAGGCGATCGAACGACGAAAAGAGGAGGGTTGATCGAGCTTGATCTATTATCTGGTGGTAGCTCGCAACAAGTTAGGCCATCTATTTTTCGTATGCCTGAGTTTCGAGCTCCGCCACATCCAACGGTTATGCGTAGTTTTAGTGGTTCTTTATTCTTCCAAAACCAACAAGGAAGCAACTCCATGTTCCCTCATCACGAAGAGATTAGCCAGGCATTTAGGCCGATAGTTCAAAATATAGCTGCAGCTCCTTCCTCCGCATCTTCTTCTTCTTCTTCTTTGGTGCCATTGGGCTCCTATTTTGCCAGACCATTTCAGGTGCAATCCGGAATGGATGTTGCCGGGCCGAGCTCGGATGTTAGAATCATTGATCCTCCTAGAAGACCCCATTCTGGCATTTGGTTTAAGCTACAAGCATCACAAAACCAGTAAGTACAAAAAAAAAAAAAAAAGGAAAACAAGAAAAAAAAAAGAACCAGGAAAATTAACTTTTTGTTTTTTTTTTAATGAAAAGTTTCTTACTTTTTTTTTTTAATCACATCACTTTGGGGTGTTTAAAAATATTAGGATTCACTGTCTGATGAAATTCACTTGGTTTTTTCATTTCAGAGCAAAAGAACCGTTCTTGCCTCAAATACCAAAGAGCTACCTGAAAATCAAGTAATAATATTTTTATCCCTTTGTTTTATTTCAATTTATCGCTTTCCACTTCCGTTTGTTTTTTGGTACTTTGATAGAAGTCTTTTCCTCCTTTACAAACTTATTTCGTGTTTAGGCGTTCATTTTTTTTTTTTTTAATCTTCAGGGACGGGAAGATGACTGTGCGGTTATTAATGAAGTATCTGGTTAACAAGCTGAGACTGGATAGCGAATCAGAGGTATTTAAATAACAATCATAAAAGCAACCTTTTTTTCCATTTAAATGCTACTATGTTGAGAACGAGATTTCCCGTACTTCATTTTTGCATATCCCACTTGCTTTAGATTAGCAAAACATGATGTTATAAAAGAGCCAAAAAGAGAAAATTAAGTCATCTTTTTATCCAGTAAATTAATTACATGAGTATAGGACTTGGTTGGTGTTAGAGACATGATAGAAAAGGCAGAACTTAATGCATCTCTCTTACTGTGCTACTTTTTATTTTCATTTTCTTGTCTGATAACATCATATAAATTTGGTGGAAAGTATATTTCTTTGGTAGCCATTTTCTTATCTAATATTCATTAGCCTTTTAACCCATAATCTATGTTTCTTAAGATTGCCCAAATGTTGTCCTAATCAAGGTAATGAGTCTTATAAAATGGTTATAAGCTTCTCGTTTTAGTCAGTTATGGATGTTCTTAGTGACAGGATTAAAGGTGTAGGCTTCAATTGTAGAAATTTGGAGATAATATATAAAACTACTTACCACCTTCTTTTCTCAACCCCAAAAATAAATGGAAGAAGAATTGCCTTCCCTGCTTCTATATATGGGGTTTACTATTTCACACCACAAATTTATATGAAAATAACATAACAATGATCTGGCACACTTGCATAGCCAACAAGAGAAAACACAAGCAAAGTATTGTGTACATTAAGTAAAACAATATAAAACATATATTTATGTTATAGAGTTAAACATTTAGAGAAAAACGTAAGTATTTAACTGTAAGTAAATGATTAATGGAGCCTTCAAAAGCACTAGAGATGGTTACATAGCACCTGAATGACAAGTATTTTGCACTGTATATATATATATATATATTGCCATTACCTTTAAAAACTTTGGAATGACTTAGAGAAATATAACTTATCTCCCAAAAAATGATATGGAACCATATTTTTTTGTACCTAATGAGAGGACCATTCTTAAATTTAAGACTGTTATGAAAACTCCTAACCTCCTCATCAACTGAATTGGACTACATATAGTTGCAAGAATACACTAAAGAAAGAAAAGAGCATAACGCAAATATGCTTGCGTCAAAATTCAAGCAGAATTCATGAAAAGTGATAATTAACAAGCGGTAAAACACAGCAAAGATAATATTCTAGATGGTAGCATCATCATAAGAATTCATATATATAAAGGTCAAGTATGAGTCTATAGGGAAATCAGTGCATCACAACTTTTTTTTTTTAATACTTGAAGTTGTCCTGATTTTAACCCTAATTACTAAAACTAAGAGTCTAACACTCTAACAATAAGTAATGCGGCTGTTGGCCTCGTTACAACTTTTTAGGATAGCAAAATTTTAATCTAATTAATGTTAAAGGGTTTACACAGGTTCATCTTGGATTGACATATAAAGAAAGATTTTTCTTTTGAGAAGGAAGATAATTAAAACCTATATTTCATTAATATATTGACTACTGGATTGACCATTAATTTTCAGAGGATAATTAACTGTTACTGAAATAAATTTATTTTAAATATATATATGAATGAAAACTGTTTAATTACTTTATTCAAAAACAAAACAAAAAAGAAGCTCATACTGAAGAAGATAGCAAATATTCTGTTTTAGATGTGAAATTGGGAAAATCGCCTAATACATAGATAATTAATTGTTTGAAGCCTTGATTAGCTAGGGTTACAATCCATACTCCTATTCCTATAATAGAAAAATATATAATTAACTATCAAAAAAGTTTCCTGTCTTTTTTAGTCTAAACATTAATTGTATACAATTTTATGATTGCACAAAACATACGCATGTTGTTACACAAATTAAGTGAAAGGAAACTCCATCGATTGCATACATTGAGGAAAATCACGTATGCATCATGTTTGAATACAAAATTAAATACTTTTTTTTTTGGGGGGGGGGGGGTCTGGGGAATATTCTCAATGGTGAAAATACACTAGAAATTCAAGTTGTTTTGTACGCAGTCATTATTAGGGAAAAAGAAGTCTATTCCACAATAATTTGTGAACGAGGTGCATTATATAAGTGAATAATTTGTGTATCTCAATTTGTTAGCTATCTTTCACTTTATTTTTCATCCTATCCCTTTTGTAAGAAATGCTTCTCATGCACACTTCATAATCAAATGCAATTATTTCGTCCCTAGAAATGACATTAAGGTAAAGTTTTTCCATACTACTTTAGCATTATATATAATTTATAAACCTAAGAGATACAATTTGTGTGCAAAGTTACTCAATTTCATCTGCTAAAACTAAATTAGACTTTTAAATCAATAAATAGCCAAGATGTCCAAAGTCAATTAAAAAATTTTCACAAAAAGTGATAAAAGCAACTTGGTGATCATTCTAATAATTGTAGAGGACAAAGAAATCTTACTAATTAATTTCCATGTACATGTTGCACATTCACATTCATGTGTATGTCATGCAAGAATGAATAAAAAAAGCATTTTATAGATGCTTTTTTTTTTTTTTTTTTGAATTAATAGGTGCTTACTTCAACATACAATACAATTTATTCAAGGCTATATGTTTTTATAAGATGAATCAGTTAGTACATATTTATATATATATCATCCCTTATATATCGATAGGAAATAGGTTTTCACTATGGAAAACATATATCCTTTTTTTTTTTTTTTCTATACGCTTCAAAGATAGCTTATATGTCAAATAAACCTTGTGCCACTTTTTTTGCATGTTACATTTGATCATAACTTCTTAGGATCTCACTTCTCTTTTTTTGCTGAAGTGGGGATTTTGAAGTTGGGATCTATTTTGGAGGAGAAATTGTGTATTTATTATGTAGAAATTTTTTAAGAACTATTTAAAGAATATGCTTCCAAGATCAATTAACAAGAAAGATTTGCATTTGTTTCTTTTCAAGTGTGTATAAATTAATATAAATTATTATGAGACATTAGAACCATAAGGCCTTAATATTATTCAGTTCATTTCACATTTAATGCACTTATTGCACGCAAGCTATGCATATAAATATTATCGTTGATTTCTAAAATTATAACGGCATAAATTATGAGGGAGAATATTGCAACTTCTTATACGCAATTTTAGAATCATTAGATAAGATGTGATGATAGGTTCAACTATGGTCCAAATGAAAAATTACTGGAAAATGGTACATACTTTTTATATGTTTTACCCAAGACAATTTCGAAACGCGTTTAACAGCTGGAAAGAAACGTGCGTTTATCTTTGTCTAGCTATTAGCTTTTGATAAAACTTTGCCATTCTTTCACTCTTAAATATTTTTTGACCCCTATATTTATAAAATATAGGATGTGTGTCTCGCTGAAACATCCTCCTGATTTTATATAATAAAAAAACTTCCACATGTAGTTTAGGTCAATTCGGCTGCCATTGAAGGCAAATTCTTCGCAGCGGCCAGGTGATAACCATCTCTTTCTCACATATAAAATTTCCCTCTTAGCCAGGGTTTGTTTTAGTCTATGCCTCTCTAGGATAAGAGATTTCTCCTTTCTCACGTGGCGTTAAACAAAATATCCAATGATTACATAGTGTTATAAGTGATTTTAGCATAGATGTAGTTCTCTCCTCCTCTTTGATGATTCCCCGATAAATCATTCTTGCTCTTCCATTAATGATTTTTGTCCATAGTACTGGTATCTAGGCACCGATTTAATACTCTTTTACACCATCTTGTTCTGATGATCATTACCCATAATCTAGAGAAGCATAGCCAATTTCTTTGTTTTTTCATACTCTAGGGCAATAATAATCAAGGCAAGAAAAGCCAAAAAAGATACCCCCACGGACATGGTGGGAAAGGTTTCTTTGATCTTTTTTCTTTTCGCAATTTTTAAGGGCAATGCATTGAATTTAGATATCATTTATAAAAACATCTTTGTCTTTGGATCATTATCTCGTTGAAATGTAGAAAAAACAAAAAAAAAAAAGGGTTTGATTTTTAGATATGTAGTAATATCATATCGTAGGGCCATGAAAATCACAAGTGGACACTGTCATCTCAAACCCTGTACCTGCACGCGTTACCGCTTCCTTTCGTCATGCTTTCGCTTCTTTCATCTCAGCTTTCGGAAAGCTAACTGTAAGCCCTCCTTTTTTTTTTTTTTAGCCCTCTCTACACCGTTTCTTTTTTTTTTTTTTTCATTAATGGTACAGGTGTAAAAATACCTTAACTGCACCACTAGAGTTTAAATGACCCCATCAGCACTCCCACAACCAACCACAAAAATACATTAAGAAAAAAAAGAGAAAATCCCTACATTTTTTACACCGGGAGGAAGCAATGCATGAGGGATAATTCTGATGGGCAAAAAAGTCCCTGTCAATTAACGATCCAAGTAAGTGAAGCAAAATTAAACAAACAATCATTACACAAGAGATAAAAATTTAACATAATTTGATCCAACTGACTTATATCTACAGATATAAAAAAGATTCACTAGTTGTAAAATATTACAAACAAATATTAAATCAAGCATTCATAATTAATACTCATAAACCCTCTCAATTTCTTTTAATTTTATAGAGTATTCTCAACCCAAACAAACATATATCTATATGTACTCATACATCATACCTATATGGATTATTTCAGTTTCCTCTAATCCATTCACAAACATATACACCCATAAGGACGTTAATTTCTAGTAGACTTATAGATTGTCTATCCAATAAAATCATACAAATCTCTTACATCTTTTTTTCATACTCAACCATATATAGACTTCACCTATTTAAAAGCTTACTAACTTATCTATCAAGAAACTTTTTTTTTTAGAATTCTTCTCTTGTAAGTTTTCTTATCCATCAAGTAATATATAACTAATCTCAAATAGATCTATTATTAGATTTGAGTTATTATTCCCAACAATCTTCACTTTTACTCAAATTCTATCAATCATCAATCTTCATGCTAGATATCCTTGACTTTACCTACAATGGAAGCCTTACAATCATTTTATCTGTGTGTCTTCACACTTCATGTAAATTGATCCTTAAAACATAAACTCAAATTTTTTTCTTGAATCAAGCTCCTCTAGGCTTGTCTCTTCTTATGTCTTGAACCTTCAGGTTTGATACTACTTATTAGACTAAAAAAGCTCCAATTCAATCAAGTCAATAGAAGCAAAATTAAACAATCAATTAATCACACAACAAACAACAATTTAACATGATTTGACCAAATCGATCTATATCCACATATGAGAAAAAAGATTCACTAGTTGTAGAGAATTACAAACATACATCAAATCAAGCATTCATAATTAATACCCATAAACCCTCTCAATCTACTCTAGTTTTATGGAGTATTCTCAACTCAAATAAACATATATTTATGTGTAACTATGCACCATACCTATGTGAATTATCTCAGTCTTCTCTAGTCTACTCACAAATATACACACCAATAAGAACGCTAATCTCCAGTAGTCTTATGAGTTATTTACCTAATAAAACCCTACAACTCTCTTATATGTTTTTTTCATGCATAACCATATAAAGACTTTATTTATTTATAAGCATACTAACTTGCTTATTAAGAATCATTTTTCTTTTAGAATTCTTATTTTGTAAGTCATTTTGTCCATTAAGCAATGCCTAACCAATCTTAAACAAATCTATTATTGAATATTAATAATTATTCCCAACAAATTCCACAAAAGAATCATTCCTAAACCTAGTTGTTGAAAAAAATAAAAAATAAAAAATAAAAGCATAAAAAATAAAACAGATGAGAGCCCCCTATCAAACTGAGTTCTTTATAGTTGGTTGAAGGAATGCATGCAACATTAAATATTAATATTAATATTAAGGGAATAAATCCTTATTTATCATCAACATCCTCCCATTTAATTAATACTTTTTTCCTTTATCGAGTTTTACCTTATTTATTTTAAAAATTAATAATTTATTACTCTCTTCATCCTATGTGATTTGACTTTTTATGATCAAATTTTGTCAATTGTAATTATTAATATTTTAAATATTTTATTAAATTAGTTTTTTATAAAATTATATTTTAAAATTTTTCATTCAAGACTTTAAAAAATATATATATGTTTTTCATATTTTAGTTAGAAATTTATTTAAAATAAAATGAAGTCAAAATTAAAAAATTTGAATTCTTAAAAATTAAATTAAAATATTATTTATGATAGACAATAAGTATTAATTAACCTAAACGAAAAAATCAACATACAATTAAAAAGGAATATTTACCTTTCATTTTGACATTAGGGCTTTTATGTTGAAAGAAAGCAACGTGAAGAAGACGTGCATGAAATGTGATTGGTGTCTGTGACAGATGTTTGAGTTAGGTTTTGTACGAATAAAAAAAACCTATTATGATCATTAAAAACTCTAATAAAAAGATTAAAAAAATTAAAAGAAAAATCGGTGCCTATTCCTCGCCGTACTTTTTGGATCCATTGCAAATCATGTGTTTAATTAACTATTTGATGCCTACTATTTTTGAATTATTATAGTAAATCTTTTTTGAAGTTAATTATTATAGTAAATTATTTTAATTGTAATAGCAGTATATCAAAATAAAGTCTATGGAATAATGATTTTGGCTTACGAGTAAAGTCTAGGTGCGCGCCGTAATGATTAATTTCGCGGTTGTTTAAGATCGTGGAATTAACGGGCAGCTTTGGACGGTCGATTTCCCTGCCTGACCGCTGACCTAAGTTGTAGTAGTACTAGTAGTAGTCTTTTTCATTTTTTGGTCATAGGGGAAACGAGGAATCTGTTGGAGTAAAGGAGAAAAGTCAGAAAGAAATGGAGAAATTTTATGGGTAAAGTAGAAGTTTAGGAAAGATGGGGCATAGCAGGGTTAGACGTAAGCCACTAACAAAGCATGACTTCAGTACCACTCATAGACATCTCAATTTAAAAAAGAAAAAATATGAACACAATAAAAAATGCAAAAAAAAATACAAATAATATAATTTACAATTTTAATAAAAATTATATGTAAATTTTAAAAAAAAAAAAAGTATTTTTGTGTTGACGTGTATAAATTATAATATATAATTTTTATGTAAAATATGATATAATTGAATATAAAAATTATTAATATTTTATATAATATGAATATATAAATTATTATATTTAACATTACCAAAAAATAACCTTCAAATTTTAGCATTGAAATTTTTTTTTTAATTTTGGGTATTCTTCAAAACCTTTTGTTAAAGCCTATGTAAGCATCAATATAAATGACAACATAGCTTCATTTTTTCAAAAAAAAATTTTAAGTGTCTTTTTTATTTATTTATTTTGTAATTACATTATGAATGCACATACTGTTGAAGCCCTGACAAGAACCTACTGTGGGATTGGGGTTGATGATAAAAGCAGATAGAGATAACATGTAGAGGACAGCAGCTTCTACCATTCTTGACGTTGCAGCATGTAAGAGATCAAATATGGAGTTCAAGAGATGCTGTGACTTTGCTTCTAAATACCTCAACAGCTGATTATAATGTAATGGTTCTGCACTATGGTAGGAGCGCTTGAAACACAACACAATTTTTTTTTCTCATAATTTAATCGCTTCCTCTTATGCGATGTATCATTCTTAAGTTACGGAGAAAATATATAGTTTGGGGATGCCCTGAAATGATGTTTTGACTTTGGGAGTCAATAATATAACCGATAATGCGATTACGAGCTGGGCTGGCTTCATATTTAATTATTATCATTTCTGTTAACTGTTACAAACTTTGTTGATTGATTGACTAATCCATTTTTTTCCATCTTTTCTAATCACTTCTCCCTACCCCTAAATCATGCCTTAATTTATATCTCCACTCAAGATTAAGTAATCACTAGAAAAATTATATATACTAGAATTTGACATGATTTAATATTTGATATATTATCAATGTATATATTTTATATACTGACAATAAATTGGATAATGATATTTTATTAATGAAAAAATATCAATATTTAAAATAAATGTATAAAAATTAAAGTTTTTTTTTTTAAAAAAAAAACTTAGGTGTTATTATCTAATTTATTTTATTCGTGAATTGTCATTATTTGATTCTCTGATAGTGTATAAAATCTATATATTGACAATGTATTAAATATAAACTCATTTGACATACTCATTATATAGGTAAAAAAATGTCTTAAAACATTTGTGATTTAGAAAAAATAATATAGGCCAATTTTTAGGTGAAAGGTGGATAGTTTTTTTTAATGGATATATATATATATATACATATATATGAGAAAAAATAGGTGAAAAAAAGAAGTTAGCTAGTCATAAAGTAGTCAAGAAGTTAGCTGACTAAAAATGAGTGGTTTTTTCTTCTTTTTTTTTATAAATATGTTTTATGTTGTAGTATAGTTTTGACTAATACAATCTTATTGAAGAAAAAAACCTTGAGTAAGGCTCTTCCATGAAGTTTTCTTAGTTAGGTAATAATTTCCTTACTATGATGCTAATAATTTTTGAAAATGTTATCTCATGATATAATACTCAAATGAAGAAGAGCAAGATTGCACTTCAAGTTTTCTTGAACACAAATGAACTATAGACCATAAAATGAGAATGAAAGAGAATGATTTGAATTTTGAAGAGAAAAGATGTTAAGATGTGTAAAAATAAATGTTAATTAAAATATTTATAAGCCTCAAAGATGTTTAAAATCATCTTTACGAGTAGACATTATTTGGATGAAAGATTATCATCTTTCGAATGAAAGAACATGTATGTACAACACACTTATTTTTTTGAATTCCCATAATAGGCAATTCATTGCTTTAGTCAAATAATGGAAGCACAGTTGATTAACCCCAAAATCAGTCGGTTTCCAAAGCAAACTTGGAAAAAGCAATTGATAGCTTTCCAAAGCTAGTCAACTACTCGTGCTTCTTTTTCATTTTTAAAAAATGCACCTAAAAGTTAGTGATGCAATTTATTTATGAACAATTTCTAAGCTAATTTGCTACTTTTGCTTAGCAGTTGATAAACAGTGCTAAGGCTATTTTCAACTCCAAACATCATTTTACCAACACATATAAATGCTCATGAATTTTATAGATTTGTTTTCACTTAAACACTTAAGAAAACAACATCTTTGATAATATATACAACAATTTCTTATTTAGTACCAAAGAATGTAAATCTATGCAATCTAAAGAAAATGCAAAGCAAGGTGTATTTAGGTGAACAATGTTTGAACTTTTGAATTGAATATGAGATGTAAGAAAACATATTCATACCTACATTGGTTCGTTTGTTCCTCTAAAAGGCAATGCAATTTAAATAATGGACCTTCGCTCTATGTTGTGTTAGCAAGTATTTTATGATTAACTAAAAATTCACTAGAAGTAGCTTCTCACTTCTCTATTTGCATAGAAAGACTTATCTAAAAAGTTTCACAACCTTTTTTTTTTTTTTTACTTTATACTATCCTAAAAAAAGTTATAAATCTAATAAGAATTCATGTCCAACCATCTTGATATGTATTAACAACACATCTAGAAATGAAACTTTCTAAAGAATAGTTTTTCCTTATATTGTGCCACTATTCCAAAAAATGATGTATTGAGAATTTCATATATCTCATATATCATAACAAGATAAAAGACTTTTAGTGATGAATATTACTGACAAAAAATTTTCATCGTTGAAAATTATCTTTAACGACAAATTAATGATGAATTTTCATGAATGGATATTTTACTTTTAATGGTGAAATTTCGTTATTAATGATTAAAATTATCGATGGAATATTATTCCATTGCTAAATATTGGCACCAAAAGTTTTGAGATGACACCAATATTAGCGATGAATTTTTGTTGCTAATTCATTTTAATTCTTATGGATTTAACAATGGAAAATTTTTGTCCTTAAATAATTGTTTTTTTTATTTTTTATTTTTAAATTAAAAAACCATTCTTTAAAAAAAAAAAACTCCTTTTTCTCTCACTAACGGAAGCCATTTTACCTTTTTTCAAAGCCAAGAATATAGCACAACCTCCATGCCACCACTGCACTAGTGGCCCCATAGCAACCAAAAGCCTTTGACCTTCTTAAAAGGAGCACCAATGAAGATGACACGAAAGTTTGAGGCAACAAAAAGGAGAAGGTTGAATGTGCTCCATTTAGGGGTGGGTAGTCACGTGATTTTCTACTGGAAAGATGGAAAGCATCATTTTGTCAAGTTCATCAAAGGTCGCAAGATGAACTATAGGGGCCCAATGATTACTTACATCAATTGTAAGATCTCTAGTCTCTTTCGACTTAGGGTTTTTATGTGATGAAGTAAGAAGTTGACAAGGATATCAGTAAAGGGCTAAAGGAAACTAGTAGTAAAGATGATGTAAAGAAGTTGATAATGAAGTTATCTAGTGTAAACTATCAAGCCAAGGATTAGTCAATTATAGGAATAGTAGTTATGTATTGTGGGTTATAATTCACTAATTAAAAACTATCATGCATATGCAGATTTTAGGGTATAAAGGAGAAATCTAATTTCTTTGCTCTCGTATCTCTTTTTTGGTCTTAATTTTCTTTTCTTTTGGTTTATTTCTTTATTCTTTTATTTAGATTAACTCTTAATTAATTCAATAGCATCATTCTATTACAAATTTGGTATCAGAGCCTATTAGATCTACCTTTAATTTAGGAAAACCTAAGAAACAGTAAACCATAATTAACAAAGCAAAATTGGATGCTCTATAAGAGCAGTTTTAGGTGATACAAAGGCAGTTTGAGGCTTTAATGACTATTGACTTAATAGTTCCAAGGTGGTGAGAAGAACAAATTAAGCTTATTGAGTCCCAGCTTACTAAAAATCATGAACGTATAAGCCAAGTGCTTGAGCTATTGGATCCGAGAAAGGCAATTGAAACTCAACTAGAATCAAAAGGGATAACTAGCAGCCAACCATCTGTTCCTATTTCTTAGTTTAAAAAGAGAGGTAAGGCATCTGTCAAAATCACAGTAATAGATGATCATGAAAAATATGCTTATAAGCCTAATGGAGTAAAACTATTAGCTAGTAAACAATATGAAATCAATGGTAGTACCTTTCAATTTAATACTGAACAATCTAAACATGTTGATTTCATTTTTGGTAGTAGTTATTTAACTGTTACAATGCATTTGCACCTATACCTAAGATTGAGTTACCAGTGTTTGATAAAAGCAATCCTAGGGTTTAGCTTAAAAAATGCCAAAAAGACTTTGCCATATTTTCAATCTCTGATCACCAAAAATTAGAGATAGCTGCTACGTATTTAGTAAAAAAGACTAAGGTATGGTTCTTATGCAAAAGGAAAGGGTGGCATGGTTAGAGTTTACTAATGACTTATGCCAAAGGTTTTGTGACAAAAACTTGTTCTGACATAATAAAGGAGCTCGACAAACTAGCCCAAAAGACTACTGTGGATGAATATCAAGAAAGATTTGAAGAGTTAAGACCATATATGTTACAATATAACCCATACTTGACTGAAATGTACTTTGTTTCTAGCTTTATAAGTGGACTCAAGGATGATATCAAGCTTAGAGTGAAGGCTAATAAACTTGAAACCTTAACTGATGCCTATAGATAAGCCAAAACTACATGAACGATCAATTGAATGTGAAAATAAGAGACATAAGTAAACTACCAAACCTCTGTTTACCTCTAATACTGGCTTTTATCTTGAACCTATTCACACTCAACCAAAATTAAACCCACTAACCAATTTCATACCGAATACACAATAGCTTATTGAGTAAAAAAGGTTATAGAATCTGTGTTTTAAGTGTGGTGAGAAATTTATGCTAGGCCATATATGTAAAACAAAACAACTTAATGCCATTACTACTTATGAATCCAATGAGGAAAAAGACAACATGCAAGATGGTAATGAAGAAGTAGAAGGAGTTAAGGAACAAGACAGTCTTGAAAACTTATAAAGTCTCACCAATACTCTTATAGGTAGTGTTGGGCATAGCACTCTTAGGATTGAAGGAACGATAAAAGAGAAACCACTTTATATTTTCATCAACAATGGTAACACTCACAGTTTTGTACTCCTAAGTGGGCTCAAGAAGGAGTGGAGCTAGAGTAGACTAATCATTTAGCTATAACAATAGCTAATGGAAAGAGATTATACAGTAGTACCAGATGTAAGGAGTTAACCTGGTTAATGTTGGGACATGTTTTCTCACATAATTTGAGAGTATTGCCAATAGGCGTAATGACATAATTCTTAAGATTGATTGGATGAAAATGGATAGTCCTTTGATGCTAGATTTTAATAAGCTATATATGAATTTTTAGAAAGAGGGTCAGTAAGTGACATTGAAAGACAATAAAAAGCAACCAGGTGTTAAGCTCATTACTAGTAAAAAATTACAAAAAATGGCTAATAAAGACCCAAACATAAATATAGAGCTTTATATGATCAATGTAGATTGTATGGAAGAAGAACTCCTTTGGAACTACAAGAATTACTCACTATTTATTCTGACATCTTTGAACAACCAATAGGACTACCACCAGTTTAATCACATGACCATAGTATACCCCTTAAGAAAGGGTCTCAACCTATAAATTTAAGGCCATATAGGTTTTCTTATCACCAAAAAATTGAAGTGGAAAGATAAATTTCAAAAATGTTATCTTCATCTATTATTCAGACTAATAAGAGTCAATTTTCTTCACTTTGTCTAT